AGGTTATAATGAAGATGACTTTATCACTAACCTAATGCCACTGAATACCTATGGACAGCTAGGAGAATTTGGTAATGGCGCTCGAGTATGCTCTATAATTATATTTAGTGCAATAATGATTTAATACATCATGTTTCAGTTTATTCGATGTTATTTCGGTGAGTTGGGTGCATATAAATCATTATCTGAATTGATCGTAGAAGATGAGGGTACTAATCCTGACTTGCTTATCAGCTGCTTTGGTGGAGCTGAACACTTCGGTATGACTGATAAACTAGAAAAAGAATTTATGAATGGCATCTCACAAGCTGCAACTACAAAAGGTACGTTCTATTTCGAAATTCGATGAAAAAACTTGATGTTATCGATTGTATACAGGAGTATGGTTGTTGACAACAGGCTTAAATAAAGGTGTGTCAAAACTAATAGGACAGAGTGTTCATCGCTTCAGATTGTTAAACAAAAAACCATCCAAACCAACTATTATTGGTTTAACTAGTTGGGGTACATTGACAGAACATACGCGAGAAGTGCTCGAATATCAGGTAAAGTGTATAAATATCAGACAATTATCCTTCTACTTACAGTTTATATTTTCTCTTAGACGAAACGTCAAATGCATCCCGCTGCTTTGATGCAGGTTGCTAGGAAAACACTATCGATAAATTTAGATTGGAACGAGGAAAAAACACTTGACCATTACCATACCCATTTTCTTCTGCTAGATGATGGATGTATGGGTGTTTATCTTGATGATCGTCCTCGTTCTTTTTTCGTCAATGCTATGTGCGAAACAACCCAATGTCAGCCTATAACGATTATCATTGAAGGTGGTTTGAACACAATGGAAGTCATTTTAAGCGATTTACACAATAGACGACCAGTTCTTATCATTCAGGGTAGCGGCCGGTTGGCAAACGTACTTGGCACATTAATTGAACTTTCCAGTAAAAAAGATAAAATTGAGTATAGAAGTTGTCTTTATCAAGTTTCTTCATTATTCTTTGTACATGACTTTCATTTAGAGAGAATGATATAAAATCTCAAATTAAATCATTTCTTCCTGAATTTGAATCTCGGGTTGCAAAAGACAAACAAAAATCTTTTATATCTAATATTAATGAAGTATTGAAAGCAGAGCATCGTAATTATCTGAGTATATTTAAACTCGAGCGTGACACCAGTCTTACAGATATGATTTTCAAAGCTGTGGATAAAGGTATATCTATTTCTATTGTTGCAAACAATATATTTACACTATTGCGTGTTTTTTCAGTTCAAACTGATCCAATACAACAACTAAAATTCTTGAGATTAGCTATTAGTTGGAATTATGTTGAAAGAGCACAAGCTATGCCAAAACGCATAGAAGTATGTAAAGTAACTTTTTTTGCATGAAAAACTTCAATAAGGAAAAAAAAATGACTTTTGCATTGAAATAGGCATTTTTCTCACATTTATATTGATCTTCAAATTTTCCATTAGGATGATCCAAATCGATATCCTAAGCTGTTTCAACAAGCACTCAAGGAAAATCGACCAGTATTTGTTGACTACTTTTTACGACAGTACCATAATCCTCTTCGAACTACTCTATATGAGTATAAGATGATCGTTAAGTTCTGAACAGCGTTACTAATTTGATATTTTAGAACTACTAAACATTTGCAACACTTGATGAATGAACTGGAAAAAAGTAATTTACTTTCGAACAACGCTCAATTGATGCAGAGAATGCTCAAGAAGGATACGATCACCCAGAACGACTCAAACATAGATCAAGCAATGCAGAAAATACTCGAGGACGATAGCATCACCGAAAACGAGTTAAGCATAACTCAAACGATGGTGAAAATGCTCAAAGAGAACATGATCATCGATATCGAATATAGCTTAAGTATAGTTCAATTGATCGAGAAAATGGTCAAGAAAGGCACGATCACCAACATCGAATACGGCTTGAGCATAGCACGATTGATCGGGAAAATGATCACAGACAACACGATCACCGAAAACGATTTGAGCATAGTTCAATCGATGCAAAAAACGCACAAGATGGACACGATCACTGGAAAGGACTTGAGCATAATATATGCTTTCAAATTTATCATTGACGAACTCTATGCTTGTCCTATCACCGAACAGCCATCTAATGTGAGATTTGTTCTTGTCTTCTATATCTTTTCCTCATGTTTATATGTTCTTTTTCTAGCATTGGCCTATTCCGAAAACAATACAAGAACTTGATAGAAATTTTAGAGAAATAATTGGACCGTTTACGAAATCATTCTATTTCGAACGAGATACCATCAATCGACTGCCATTAGGTTTGAAGTCATTATTTCATCGTAATCATACAAATGATGAAAAGGATCAGCCACTAAAAAAACCTGATACAAATCCGCTGATCTTCAATCATCGTTGCAAGAAACCGTTTGAGAAGCCGGAAATGTTGCGTGAACTTTTCCTATGGAGTGTCTATGCAGGTTACTCTGACATCGCTTTTGTTATTATGTTGCAACTTGAACCACGAATTGCTGCAGCATTGATTGGAACGCTTATAGCTCGGCGCCTTGCATCATCTACTAGTCGCTTAGACTTGCGCCATAAATTCGAACAACAGGCAAAAGATTATGAAGAATATGCAAGAGATTGTATTACAGCCTGCTACCAACATAACGAAAGGTTAGCTTGTCAACTTATCGTACGTGAAAATCCACTATTTGGAGATGTAACTTGTATGCAAGTGCGTACATAGACTTTCTGTAATAACTTTCTTTTTATTTGATTTTGGTAATAGATAGCCATTGCATCCGATAGCATGCCAGTTGTGAATACTCACTGTTTCAATCAAGTCCTTAACAGAGAATGGTTTGGACAAATGGTTCCCGATACAGCTCAATCATTAAGATCAAAGTTCGGGTTCATGCTTTCTTTGCTATCGTTTGGATTACTTGCACCATTTGTAATAATATTTCGTCCAGTAGATGTTGATGATAAGGAACTACCAAACAATGTAAGCTTACTTTTAAGCTCATCACATTTTATCATCAGATTTGATTCATTATCATTTATATTTCAGAGCAATGACTACCATAGAGAAAACTCTCGAAGGTATATTCTTTCTCTCATTATTACACTTCGGCTATATCGATTTTTCATATATGAATACATTTTAGATGGAAAGGAATTGAAGATCAAAAAATTAAAAAACCAAATTACTTAAAAAAATTAGAATATTTTCATTTAGCTCCTCTAACCAAAATAAGTTATCATTTCGTGAGTTAGAAACGTCAATGTTCTTTCAATGTAACATATGTTGTTTTTTTTACTAGATGATTTATCTATGGTTTCTGCCAGGGCTGGCCCGAACCATGGAAAGTTGGGGGGGTGTTCGAAAATTTTTTTTTGTAGCTTTAGTAAAAAATCTTTTTTTTATCGTCACAAATGTAGTAGGTGTTTAGATAAGACTTTTGACGAAAACCGAAAAAAATTCCATCGCGCCTCTGCAGAGAAAAAAGAAAAACTTTTCAAAAGTTGGGGGGGCGTCGGGCCAGCCCTGGTTTCTGCTGGTATTTAGTCATGCGATGTTATTTCACATGAGATTCGATGAACCTGATGATGCAACCCATTGGACAAAAATTTATTTGATTATCACTGTTTCGACAATGCTTATTGAAGATTTTCGTCAAGTAAAACGGACGATGTTTTTTCATCTTGATTGTAATACATAAAAATGACTATAACATTCATTCACTATAGCTCATTGTCGATCATCATACACAAATGTTGGAAACATGACAATTGCTAGACTCATGGGTGATACCTATGTATGCATTGCTATATATTCTGTTCTACATTGGTATAATATGTCACTATAGATCAGGTAATCAACTTGAAGTATATACGGCTGCTAGGTATAAAAACTATTGAACTACAATTTTTCTGTTCTTATCTAAATATGAATCTTTCATAGGATTATTCTAGCCATCGATCTTGAACTTTGGTTTCTTCTTTCACTACGTTTTGTTAGCGCTGTAAAACTTTTAGGACCAAAACTTATCATGATTCGAAACATGGTAAGTAATTGTATTTTGATCTTACAATGTAAACAAATTCATACTATTAGTTACGTGATCTAGTGGCTTTCATTTACATAATTTTCGTATGTATTGCTGCCTATGGTGTAGTGTCATGTGCTTTGGTTATGTATAACTCTGTGGATTTTACTGCCAAAAGTATTTTTACGGCCATCTTTTATCAACCTTACTGGTTTTTGTATTCTATTGTCGATGATGAGAAAAAGAATCTTGACAGTAAATTATAATCATTTTCTTATCAAACTCATATTTATTGCCTTCTTTTTATAAAGATATTATAGCGAATTCGTCCACATCGGAAGAAGCAGTAGAGGCAACTGTAAATCATGTACTCTTGACTTTTCATATGTTGTTTATCAATATTCTAATTCTTAATTTACTTATTGCTGTGTTTAAGTATGTTTTATTGAAATTGAAAGGAATAATTTTAATATTTTGTTGATATTTAGCTTTACGATCAGTAAAGTTCAAGACAAGAATGCATATTTTTGGCGTTATCAACGATATCAATTGATTAGTGAATATTTTAAAAAACCGATACTTGCTTATCCACCTCTTTCACTCATTGCTTATATTTTTTGGTTGATAAAAGTATTTGCCTGCCGCGGCACAACTTTTCGAGTGTTTAGTAAGTACTTTAAAAACATTCATTGATAATATATAATTATATTGGGACGTTCTATGCACTACTTATAATCTTTTGATTGGAGACCATAGACAAGAAATTCCTATTATTGAAATTTCATGTTGAGCAATAAACAGAAATAAATATTGCGTCTATTTTGCGAAGATTTTTTATGTTCTATAGGAAGATAAGTTGATTAAGTCTTGGAATAGTCGAAGAAAAAGTAAACTCTGACGGATGTTTTATATTTAGAACGTCTTTGTAATCAGTGTACAATGGATACTTATTGGAATGAATTTGAGAATGCCGCCACTTATGAACATGCACGTAATTTTGTTGAACAGCATTATCGATTAACAAAGAAAGTTACGCTTGACACGTAAGTATCAATATCTCGTATTCATTTAACACTATAATGAAGCTATTTATAGATTACAAGAGCAAATAGATGTATTGAAGGATGAGAATGAACGGATTCGAATGGATAATGAACACATTCGAACTGATACAGGCGACATAAAGAACCGAGTATGTGTAATCGCAGTAAATCTTATTTTATCTCATCATGATCATGGTGTTCTTTCTGATTAGATGGCAGCTAGTATGAACTGGATTATGACAGCAATGGTTCGTGTCAGAATGTCTCGAGACCCACCACCTACGTTCGAATATCAAACTAGCAGCGATGCTTAAAAAGGAGTTCACCTCAATTATTATATTTATATATTAAACAGTGTTCTTTTAATTAAGTTCCGATTCCTCGAAAATAAAATTTAAATGAGAAAAAAGAGAGAAGATTATTCTATTCAATTAGGTTTTTCAAACATTCGATCACGTTCAATAATGCTTAATTAGAAGAAGAAAATAACGCATTTTCATGCAGTTTAAGTTAATTTCTTTTTCAAGATACCTGTTCAATGCTATCATTATGTCATCCTCATTGGTCATTATCCAAGGCTATACTTCCTAGATGGAGCATCAAAATGATAATCCCAATATAAATGTTTCGAAGCTCGATACCCACATATTGATATTATGCTATGCTTCTGATAAGAGAGACATTGTTGGCATTTGAAAATGCCCTCCAGAATTTTAGTTTTGTGGCACTATCAACTGGGTGTGAGTGTGGATGTGCGTGTGGATGTGGTTGTGGGTGTGGGGTGAGGGTGTGAGTGTGGGTGTTGCTGTGGCTGTGGGAGTGGATGTGGGTGAATGTGGGTGTGGGCGTGGGTGAAGGACTAATCTATGTCCACACCCACACCCACCCACACCTACACGCCACCCTCACCCACACCCACACCGATACCCACACCCCACACCCACACCCACACCTGGAAATTACAAATTGACATTTGTCAATAACGATGGTGGAATGAATGCTGCTACGAAAAAGAGATGCATCGATACTTTTTTCACCACTATGTACGTAATGTCAAACTGCTTGAATACCTCTCTTTGATTTCTAAGAAAAATTGATTCTCTATGGTAGGCCAAAAATGTGTGATCGATTCAATAGAAACTCATGCTAACGTGATGTTCAGATTACAATCGATCCTGAATACGATGAACCAGTAGCCTCTGCATCGGTTCGTCTCATTATTATGAGTGCCAAATGGCTACGTGACAACCCATACGATACTGATGTTGTCGTACACGAATCCATGGGTGTGGGTGTGGTGTGAGTGTAAGTGTGCGCCTGTCTTTCCTGTTAACGCACACTCGAAACCCACACTCACACCCACACCCTTACTGATCCCATTATATGCTCTGCTTTGGTTTTTTGTTTAAATAAAACCTCCATGACATCCATATAATAAAGATTCATAATAGTTAGCACGGTAGTTGTGAGGTACAAAATCCATGTAAGAATTTTTTATGAGAAACCAACCTTTACAGATAATTTTCAATGAATTCAATTTGAAAAGTCATGATTTTTTTTTACATACAACTCATATCATTTTAATCAATTTTTTAAACCAAAAGATCGATTAAGATCAGTTTTTTTCTCTTACAACACTATTCGCTGTCGACATCTGCGATTCTCACAAAATGTCTCTGGAATGCACTGGGTCATCCATCTCGAGTCCTATCATATAATCACACGCGTCCTGATTTTATTTGTGACGATTTATGTGACATTTGAACTAGAAAAAAAACAAAGAACAACTCGTGTACGATCAACCAGAAATATGTAATAAACTATTATGTGTTATGTTTTATTTCTGTCCTGCAACAATCTTTAACTTCTTTATTTTATCGCTTATCATATTGTCATCATTACTACTAACAGAACTCTAAATATAAGCGAAGAAATACTTTGTGTATGTATGCAGTTATTTTTACTGATAACAATATCGTCAAAAGTCACCTTTGTAATATACCAACAGTTGCGCTGACGTGAGTATGCATGTAATTTTTCAATATTGTCACATATTCAGGAAATCAAGGATGTTGAAGACATGCAGAGAAATGTGGACGATATCTTTCTGTATTTAAACATATGGATCTATTAAAGCTAGTTTAACATCTCGCTGCACTTATCTTAGATTTAGAGACTATGCTCGTATACGTAATTGTTAATCGTAGAAGGCTACTGCATAGAGAAAGAATAGGTCAAATGTGATAATGTTTGATTTTAATTTGCAAAATTGTATTTAGATTATGATAAGAAGATCTTCCCCACATATCCCCGTCGCCAATCAAAAGAAAAATAACGAACAAAGAGTCAATCTCGTAATTTTCGAATTCTTGTTTTTTTTTTCATTAAATAAAATATATTTGATAAAAATTAGTTTGAATTACAATCTGAAGATGATTGGACTCGTGCAATTCATCATAATCTTAACATAAAACGGCGAACATGCACTACATTTATTCCAAAACGTTCAACTACTAATAATCTGTATGTTACCAAAGAATACAATTGTCTTTTATCTTAATGAAAAAAAAAACTTTATTTTAGTAATAAAAATGAAAATGATATTCCATGTGGTTGTAATCGTCTTCGTCGTGAACATTCTTGGGATGTTTTCGAGGAAAAACATATCCAATGGAATCGAAACAAACATACAAGATCGGCCTGCAATAATGCATATGGACATATACCGGATACACATGCACATTATATTCGCTGTGATATTGAAACACCTCCGAATATTCTTGCTAAATTAATGTTTGATATATGGAAAGTTAAAGACCCACAATTGATAATGTGCATCATTGGAGGAGCTAAATATTTTAAATTAGATGAACGACTTGAAAGAGAATTTATGAAAGGTATTATTCAAGCTGCATTGAGAGCAGGTAGAGTGAAAAAAAAGTTTGTAAAGATAAAATTTATTTGATTTATTTTCAAGATGGTTGGATTGTAACAACAGGATTTAAAACGGGTGTTGTACAACTTGTTGGCGAAGCTATCGATGATCATCGAGTAACTAATCCACATAGTCATATTACTGCTATTGGTTGTTCGAAATGGGGTGCAACTAGAAATCGAGCATCACTCATATTAGTATATATTTTAAGATTTATTTTTATTTGTCAATTATTGAATTTTTATTTCTAGTCAAAAAAGTCGACTAAATCTATTCATGATGCAACAATAGATATCTCAAAGAGAACAAAAGGTGAACAAGATCTTGAATCGAATCATACGCATTTTTTATTACTTGATGATGGAACTTATTATGGATATGATATTGGAGATTATCGAACAAAATTTGTTCTCGAAGCTTCACATTATAAGAAATCAGATGATGAAAAAGGTACTTTTACAGTAACCATAAAAGCTCTAGTCCTCAAGTAAATAGTGTATAAAACTTTAATCTTTTTGTCTGATATATTTTGACTACAAATAGATCTTACGTTAGTAAATTCTTATCACAAACAACGAGACAAGACCAATCAGATTTGATATAAAGGATTTGCAATTAAAACACTATTTATTTAGTATTAATCATTATTGAACTATCGAATGAACGTTCGTTTGAAGGAGAATCTTTTCTAACTATCTAGTTCTTTCGCATAGAATCTAACCAAATCCTGCTTAGTTCATGTGATCCATGTTCAAAATGCTCTTTTCGTAGTCAAACTATAAGATTAAAGAATCGAAGTTTAGGTACTTTGTTTTTTTACCTAGTAGAAGAATTTTTCACTTTCTTATTATTTATTAATGTTTTTATTTAAGTGCCTATTGTGACTGTAGTCGTTGAAGGTGGTCCAGATACATTATCAACAATTTATAAAGATCTTTATAATAATATACCAGTAGTATTAATTAATGTATGTATTTCAATTGATGTCATAAGAATATATATATTTTGATAGAATTTCATCTACGTAGGGTAGTGGTCGAGTGTCCAATCTTCTTGCTAATTTTATTAATCGTACAGAATCAATAATTAATCGAAATGAAAAAGATAATGATGATGTTGATTGGAGAAAAGTAATCCATATGAAAGGAACAAGTGATATTGGAAAGTAAAATATTTATTTATTATTATATTGACATATATATTTGTGGATAATTTTCTTTTTTTTTCTTTTAAGATCAAAAACAAATTTTCTTCCTTATATAGATGAAATACGTGATGGTTTAAGAGATATATCTAAAGGATCAAACTCGTCAGATGTACAAATTGATAAACTATTAGAATATTTTCTATATTGTTTACAACCAACTGTTCGATCGAAAATTCGAATATTTAGTCTTGATAGTAATGAATCTTTAGATGATACTATTTTCGAAGTTATTATACATGGTAAAATACATTCTATTCAATTTTTATTATATGACTATTATTATTTTTTTTTTCGTTATTATAGCAAAACAACAGGAAAGTTTAGAAAAAAATATACCAATTGATCGAGAACAATTATTACATTTGGCATTGGCTTGGAATGCTATTCATGTAGCAAAAGAATATATTATTAAAGATGATTTAAATGATCTTGATGTGAGTTTATAAGATAATCTAATAAAGGATTTCTTCAAAAAAATATTTTATTTTTCAGTCAGATGCTAAAGAAAAATTATTTTTCAATGCACTTTTACTTAATTGTCCACAATTTGTTAATATATTTATTAAATTAAATTTTAATTTAACTCAAATATTTTATGAAAAACAAATAAATCAACCATGGAAATTAAGATTGAATCAATTACTTAGATTATATAACAATGATGATAGCAAGAAAGGTGTACGATAAAATATAAGAATCGATAATCTATTTTATGTCCTACTAAAATTTTGTTTTCTAGAGAGAACGCCTTTATTTACTTAAAAAATGTTGGAACAATAAACCAATTAATTCCCAAGAAGATCTTGATCTAATATTAAGAAAATTAATAGGTGATTATTTCAAACCAATATATACTTCTTCAGTCACTAACTTCTGGAAACGATTAAAACTATATTCATCGAAAACTCGTATAGCAGATAGTGATACAATTATGTATGAAGATTATAATAACAATGATTCTGAAGTACCTGATCCAGAAGAAACTCAAAAAGAAGCTCGAGAATTTGTTTTTCGTGATTTATTTTTATGGTCAATATTAACAAATCGTATTGAAATGTCTAAAGTTATATTAAGTCATATGCAAACACGTATATGTGCAGCATTAATAGCATCAAAAATTTTGAAATCATATAAAAATTTTGCTTATGATAATGAAAAAAAAGATGCCTTATCTCGTCAAGCTGAACAATTTGAAATATATGCAAATGAATGTTTAAAATATTGTTATAATTATAATGAAGAAACAGCACATGAAATTGCTATACGAAGTATTAATATATTTGGTGGTGTTTCATGTCTTCAAGTAAGATTTAAAATCAACAAAAATAAGAAAAAGAAAAAGAAAACATAATTTTCATTATTTTAAGGTTGCTGTAGATGCTGATGATAAAAGTTTTGTTAGTCAACCATGTTGTGATCAACTTTTAAATAATATTTGGCATGATAAAATAGAACCGATTCAATTTACATTACTTCAACATATTGGATTATTATTTAGTATTTGTACATTTGGTTTATTAGCACCAATTTTTATTACATTTCGTAAAGTTAAATTAATTCCTATTGATTTTAATAATGATCGAAAAAGAAATAATTATATGACTATTAATGAAATAGAACAAGAAACAAAACCAGTATCTAGAATAAGAAAAAGGTAAATGTTCAATTAAGTAATCAATTAGAATATTTTGATAATTTTATTTTCCATAAGTAAATGTCGATTATAATTTTTTTTAATGATTTTTAACTATAGAAAAAAAAATACATGCATGCTTCTATATAAAGACCTTTTTCTATCCACTAGTATATCCATTACCATGTTCTACTATCTTTTCAAGTCGTCGTATCTCATGTATGAGAATAGCATATATATGTAATAGTATAGAAGCTTTTATTAGTGTGTACCTGTAAGATAGATAGACTTTCGTTATACAACAAACATATATGCTGAAGTTTTATTTCAGGAAAAGAAATTCAGTGTATCCATGTATATTTACTGAATGTGCTTTATTTTTTTGTTAACATTCTAAAATTGTATTGTATGAACATATGTATAGTCTCAAAAAAAAGAGCAAAACTCCAATACTTCGAAGTACTGAGGTGTTTTTTTTTCCACCTTTGTTTCTCATACAAGGACAACATGTATGATATACATGTGCTAAATTTCATGCATGTTATTGCAAATACAGTTTATACTAATCCATTTCCAATCGATGATAGAACTGTTGTTTATTATATAATTTCAATCTTGAATACTTGTATTTAGATTAGAAGATCATGGTATAAATTATTCTGATATATATGCATGGCAATCAGATAGTTGTTCACAAGGATGTTTCGATTATTTTCGTCAATTAAAACAATTTCATCAATCACCACTTATTAAATTTTCGTATAATGCAACTAGTTATATATTTTTTCTATTACTCTTTTCTTATTATTTATTATTCAATTTTAAAAGTTCAACAAATAATAGTTCATGTATACATTGGACAGAAATTTTATTGATTATTATTGTAACAACAATGCTTTTTGAAGATATTCGACAAGTAAATTATTTGAAATATATCCTGAATTTTTTCATATTTATATATATTTTTTTTTTGATAGTTCTTTTGGCAAGAAAATCGATCAATAATTGGAAAATTATCTAATTATTTTATAAAAAATCTATTTATTACTTTGATTCATATTACATCATACATACTTTTTTATATTGGCTTTATTCTTCTATTTACATATGCATCTACTGATGAAAATTTAACAGTTGCTAAAATTGTTCTTGCTTATGATCTTGAGATTTGGTATATACGATCATTAGCTTTTCTTGGCGTTACACGTAACTTGGGACCAAAACTTGTTATGATACGAAAAATGGTATTAAAAAAAAATCAATAAATTATTTTATTATTTCAATTTTATATTTTTAGCTTATCGATTTATTTTTCTTTACATATATTATTTTAATTGCAATGATTGCATATGGTGTTGCTTCTCGAGCTATGTATAAATACAATGAAGATGATAAATGCAATGAAGATGCACATAATGATGATTTAACATTTAATGGTCGTTCAATTTTTCGACATATTCTTTATCCAAGTTATTATCTTATGTATGGATCAACAGAAAAGGAATTAAAAGCACTTGATGGTATAGTTTTTATTTTCATTTTGATAATAAATTATAAATTAGAATGTGTTCTTTTGTTTTTTTGTTTTAAATAGAAAATCGAGATCTTAGTACAGCTATTGCTACTCAAATTTTATTAGCTTTTCATATGTTATTTGTTAATATTCTTCTTATTAATCTTCTTATTGCTATGTTTAGGTATGTATTGTTTTTTGTGTTATTTTTTTTTAAATTGAACAGATATATATGTATATAATTATTTAATGTTAGTTATACATTTGAAACAGTTCAAAGTCAAACTGATCATGTATGGCAATATGAACGATATTCATTTATTCGTGAATGTTTCGATCGATCATTACTTTTTCCTCCATTTACTATTATAAGTCATTTGATTGAATTTATTCATTTTTTAATACGACTTTGTCAAAAAAGAAACAATTCAAATATGAAAAAAAATCAAGCAAAAATATTTAGTAAATTAATAGAAATCGAAAATAATTTTAATTGAAATTTTACTGTTTTTTTTTAAAGAAATGATTGCTGTTGATCCTAAAATAGATAAAGATTGGTCAAAATTTGAAGGTTATGCAACAAATCTTTATGCTCGAATACAAGCTTCTGGTGCACCTGCATCATCAGCTACTGTCGTGCCATCCAGAACACGTCAAGATGATTTACATACAACATTAGATACAATGAATACTTCACCATCATCATCAACTATAGATTTGAAAACAATTTCTGATGATATTGCATCGATTAAAAGAGTTATTGGAGATCTTCGAACATATACTGAAGAAGTTAGATGAGATTAAAAAAAAATACTTTTAAAAAGATTTGATGTTCTTTCTATTTGTTTGTTATATAGATGAATAGATCTATGCAATCGATGAACGATGCTAAGGAACGAGTTAAAATATCAAAAGAATCAAAACCAAGAATAAGATCAGCGATCACAACTAATAGTGAGATTATTGAATTTGTTTTGTTAATTTTTATTTTTATCTGTTTATTTCGTTAGATCTAAAAGAAACGGACGATTAAGTTTCGTTGTGAATAAAAACTATGCATTTTTAGTGTATTAATTTCAAATGTGTTGCTGGCAATCAATTTTCGAAAGAACTAATCAAAATTGTCATGTTATTAAATAATAACTGAATTGAATGATCATATTTTAACGATTATAGTTACTTCTTTTTTTGTTTAGTGAATAATTTTGCAAAAGAGATCACGTAATACGTAAAAAATGACAATAAGGTTAGCGTTCCCAATATTTCTTCTTTTTTTTCTGACTTGATGGAGAAATATGCTTTGGATGAATTTTGTTATAAAATTGTCGTAGACTTTTATGTGATGCAACTCTTAACCCTTGAAAGCCGAATGTTCCCCTTCCAAGGAACATTTGAATAACTGCAATAAAAACCTTACTAAGACCTTGTATAAAGAAATGAATATTTTTCTGGATTGAGAGAATCTTAGAGGTCATACCGAGATCAAAATATAAGTGTCAAATGACTGTCAGATGGAACAATATATCTTTTACTACTGATGATTTTTTTAATGTCGCTTTTTTTTCTAAAGTTTTGTTTAATCATAAATGCAACGTCCAGCCTTGTTTATATGACGGTATAATCTTAAACATAGCATCAACGTATCTAATCTGTCCCACATATGTGCATCCTATGTCCTCTTTGTCTTTTACAAATACCGTCCATTGTTTCATGCTCGAAATGTATAGCTCTCCTTTTCTGTAGAGTAGGAATGAAGGAATGAGCAAGTAACAAAATTTCCCTATGTTTTGTCATCATGCGCTCGCTGTTAGAAAAATATCGAGGTATAAGAGTGAGGATAAACACGATAAAGCTAAAGCATTATTTGATTCAGTTGAGAACTGTTTGCGAGAATGCATAAACCAACAGGATTTCCTAACTCGATATTAATAGAATTATATCAGAAGAAAAAAAAAATGAAAAGAGTACGAAGAATAAAAGTTCATCGTGTTTCTTTTCATTTTGAGCATTCGATAGAAAGACAACTATATTCAACAGCAAGATTCAAATGTAATTGAGAAGATGAAAAGTGAAACTAATTCAATTTTCTCTTAGTTTTAATATATTTGACTTAAGAATATCAATTATTTAGTTAATCAATATGAAACTTTTTGCCAATATACTAGAAAAGTTTCGCGACATTTTTGTGAAAGCAGAAACTCGAAAGGTCGAATTATTGCAGAGATATAAGGATAACAAAGTTGTTGGTTGGCTGTACAAAATAATTTTAAGCCCCTATGTATGTATCCCATGTCTGTTTTTTTCTAGCGTTTAAAAATGGTGGAGGTCAGTATTTCTCAATTTTTTTAATTTTTATTGAATTATAATAAGAATAATAATAGGTGCTTTTATTATACCATATTTTTGTACTTATTTTCTTATTGGTACTCCACTTTTCTTTCTGGAAATGTCACTTGGTCAGTTCACTAGTAGAGGTGCAGCAGCTGCTTTTAAAATGTCACGAATGTTTAAAGGTACAAAAAAAAAAAAATTTGTATGTATTTTTATCAATGATAAATTTTATCTTTTCTTTGAAAGGACTTGGTTGGGCAATTGGAATAAATTCATTTTTATGTTCTATCTATTATAATATTATAATTGCTTGGATTCTTTTCTATTTTTTTACTTCGTTTCGAAGTAAACTTCAATGGAGTGATTGTGGAAATTGGTGGAATACTGAACGTTGTGCTAATCCAGGTACATATATCATTTGTTTTTCTGTAAATGTCAAAAAAAAAACACGAATTTCATTTATTCTTTCATAGAGACATTGAATTATTCAAATTCTACAATTTTTTGCAATAGTATTCATTATCAAATAAATTGTACGATACCTACTCTTCCACCAGAAGAATATTTTGAGTAAAATATAGAATAGAATTTTTTTAATGAGTATTGATTATTATTTAGTAATTATGTTTTGCATCGAAGTGATTCACTTGATAATTTGGATTTACCTAGTTGGTCTTTGTATTATTCAAGGTATTAAATCACCAGGCAAAGTAAATTATTGAAATAGATTCTTTTATTAATATAATTGATTATAGTAATGTACTAGGTCGTTTATTTTACTGCATTATTTCCTTATGTTGTCATTTTTGCTCTAATCATTCGTGGTGTAACTTTACCAGGCAATTTTTTTAAAATACTTATTTACTCATCAGATCAATATGATGAATTATATAGGTGCTCGATTTGGTATTAAATTCTATTTGAAACCTAATTGGAATAAAATTCGTCAATTTGATGTAAGTATATTTTACTTCTCATGATATTTTGTTTAATTACTAATTTGTTATTAAAATTCTGAGAATTTTTATCTTTATCTGTTTTTTTTATTTTCTTTTCAAGGTTTGAATTGCTGCTGCTTCTCAAGTTTGATGTTTTTTTTTTTAAATAAATTTTTTCATATTTTAAAATTATCAATCTAGGTTACATATTCTCTTGGAATTGCATTTGGTTCCATTATTTCAGGTTAATAATTCTTCATTAATTGAATATTCTAATTCTATAGATATTTGATATATGTATATCTATGTATATTTATATAGATTGTGTATGTTTGTAACTGCATGCAATTGTTTTACTTCAGTGAGTAAATGATTTGTATATATCTGAATTAATTGTAAATAAAAACAATAGGTATTTGCTGACATTGCTATTTTTTCCGTACTTGGTTATATGTCCTTTAAAACTGGTTTACCTATCGAACAAGTAGCTAAAGCTGGACCAGGTCTTGCATTTGTTGCTTATCCACAAGCATTATCAATTATGCCAGGTGGACCATTTTGGGCAGTTATTTTCTTTTTTATGCTTCTTACACTGGGACTTGATACTCAGGTAATTTGATACAATAGAAATATGTTTTAATTTCACATGGAAATGGTGTATAGTTTGGCTTAGCTGATGTTGTTATTGCCGGTCTACTTGATACATTTAAACAATTACGTCAACATAAATTATTTGTATCTATTAGTTATTGTATTTTTTGTTATTTACTAGCATTACCAATATGTGCACCGGTAATATATTGTGTAAAACATTTCGTGCACTTTTTTTTTTTGTTTATGGTGGTATTTATCTATTTGTATGTACATATTTGTTCTGTTTCCGTAATGATTCAGTTTATTTGTAGATATTGATGAATGAATATGCAGTTAATTTATCTTTAATTATATGCGGATTTCTTGAATTTGTGGTTATTGATTATATTTATGGTAATATATATATAAAGCAGACATTTTATTAAGCTTTTTTTCTTTGCAGGTTTTAATAATTTTATGGAAGATATTCGAATGATGTTAGGTAAAAGACCTTTAGAACCGTATTGGTTTTTTACTTGGTGTATTTCTGATCCAATTATTACTCTAGTAAATTTATAATAAAATATTTATTGCTTGATTTAATTCAGTTTTTCTAAAATTAGGTCTTAGTTTTTTCATCAATTATTCGATTTCAACCACCGACTGAAGGTAATTATGAATATTCAGCATATGCTAACATGCTTGGTTGGCTTATGGTTTGTTCATCACTCATTTTCATTCCTTGTATTATGGTTTATGAATTTATTAAAGCATGGAAAGTAACTAACAGTCTTCAATATAAAGTAAAAATCTTAATTTTTTTTTTCAATAATTATTAATATATATTTGCTGTCTTTTAAAGGTTATTGAACATATGCCACATTATCTACGAATGTTAACTTATGCTAGAAAACCAGATACAGAATGGGGACCAGCGAAAAATGAAAATCGTTATGGTCGTTATAAACCGAAGATCGAGCAATCAACATCCATAAATCAATCGAATATTAACGACAGTGATAATAATTCGACTTTAAAGTTTAAAAATATGTTTCGTACACGATTATAATTATTTTTAACATAAAATATTAAGACTTGAAGCGAGCAATACTATGAATTATTGTAGCTTCTAGATCATTTGTTCACATTATGTTTTTACTCCGTAAAAGGTATTGGAAAAATAAAAAACGATATTTTATTATTCTATGAAATCAACATGTATTTCATAATTGCTACGATAATATCCAGAACATTTTTAGACTTTTTGATTGTTATTATAAATTTTGATACTACCACTCGCACGCATAAAGTATATTTCGATTGATTCATAGTCTTGTAAACAACAATCGAATAATCTCAATTGAATCTGTACATATGTAATAAGCTGTACCAGTGGTTAGTATAGTAATTAGTGCAATGTTATATCTTTTGTTATCCATGAATAACAAATACAAAGCTATATGGATGATAACAACATTGATATTGCGTTGATGAACCAGAGACCGAAAACGAACCAAACCCGTATGGATTTTTAATAAACAAAGACGAACCAAATTGAACTCGAATTACTTTTTCAAAAATGAAGTCGAAACAAACTGAACCTGAACTTATTTTTGAAAAGATAGTCGAATACGGTCAAACCCTAAATGAAAACTAATTGATTGAGCTACCATCAATTTTGAAAAAATGTGGGTGTGGGTGTCTTCTATTCAGCCCCACCGACACTATAAAACTATGTACCATCGAGTTCGGGTCCAAAAAAATTTAACCGACCAGGTCTGGGTTGAGGCTCAGCAAATTTTATATGGATCCGGGTTCGGGTCTGAGTCCAAAAATCCTTGGACCCAATGAGTTCTATCCACCGATGCTACGGTGGAGCGATGGACGGTGCACCGTCACCGTTGCATCCCTAGCCCGGACTGAAAGAGTTAAAAATAAATTTCTATTTTCGTTCTTTACTGCAGTTACGCAGTGTTATAGTAAGAAGAAAAGTTTTGTTTATTTTGTACATACGTACTGTTTCTTTTAGCTTTCTTATTTATTTGAGTTGAATCGTTTCATTCTTTCTCATTGCACTTTATTTAACCATACCAAAAAAAAATTCTTTCTTATAGATATTGTGAGTAATAGTAATGCCTTGCGTAACCTACGGGCAATAAGTAGAAAAAAAAAGAGAGAACGTATTGCTACCTTTCTTCCATCAAGCTTCAGTTACAGAGAGGGATACTTGTTTCCCTCTTTTTATGTACACACAGTTCGCAAGAAGGAATCTTGTGAAAAAGAGTTATTCACACATTTAACATAAAAGAATGTCAGCATCACACGGCGGCGAAGAGCTCTGTTCAAAAGATGTGGATCGCATGGCGGGAATCCCCACTGATTCAGCGCCATCATCGTACGAGCCATCTCAAGATACAACGAGTTTGTCTTCAGGTTGCTCTTCTTATTTCTTCGCTAACGGGATTTTTCAACTTTTAGGTGGTCACAGTGGAACAGGAGAAGTCAGCGGTACCACGTCATCTAGCAGTGGTAGTACGAGATCCGGCAGTACTTAGACTATTTCCTTTCTTGGGACTGGTTTAATTCGAGTATATAAACAAGCTATACTTTTAACTTCGAAACAATTGAAATTTCTTTTTTTTAATTTCTTATCATATTCAATAAATAAGCAGCATGATTTGTGGCCAATTTACTGGAATTATTTAATCACAAGAATTCTTCTTCTACTACCATCAAGTTTTGGATATACCGACGTTACGCATACGGATGTAGGTGTGGGCCTGAGTTTGACGTGTGGATGGTACTGAACAGAAGACACCCACACCCACTTCAGAATACTACAGTAGTTTGTCTACTTTTTACAAGTAGGTAAAAACAGAAACAACA